GCGCGCGGCGCGTCGCGCGCCCTCGCCGCGGCGTCGGCGGCCGAGGGCCGGCTCTTTCGAGGGGGCACCCCGCCGAGCCGACTTCCCCCTCCCCGCACCCGCCGCCGTCGCCACGAGCGCGGCGCCGCCGCGCGGCGCGACGCCGGCCGGCGCCGCGGGCAGCTCGCGCCACGCGCCCCCGGCTGGATCGTACTCCCATAGATCCGCCAGCCGCCCCTCCTTGCCGCAGCCCCCGAACACGTACACGCGGCCGCCGGCCGCCGCCATGGCGTGAAAGGAGCGCGCGGGCGGCGCCGCGCCGGGGGCGGCCGGCGCGAGCGTCCAGGCTGGGGCGGGGGCGGCGGTGTCTGCGACCCACAGGTCTTCATGCGCGCCCTCCCCCATGTCGATGCCTGGGGTGCGGCCGCGCACGGAGTGGCGGTGGTGGTGGAGGATTTGATGAATTTGGGGGGGGGTGGGACGAGTTTCGTCCCCCTCGATGGCGGAGGGGCAGCCCGCCGGGCAGCAAGGCGAGCAGCTAGCGCCTCTCGGAGCCCAGGGCGCGCGTCGCCTCGCGAGGCCCAAGCCGAGCGGGGGCGGTCGCGCGCGGCGCCCCTCCGCCGCCGCCGCGGCGGCTGCAGGCCCGTGACTGCCGCCGCGCCACCGCCCGGGCGGCCCCCTGGGGCCCCTGGCTTCCGCGCGGCGCCTGCGCCTCACCGGTCCTGCCGCCGAAAAGGTAGACCTTTGACCCCACCGCAGCCATGCCGGCGGCGACCCGAGGGCCTGGGCCGCCGGCGTCGTCCCCGATCACCTGAGACGAGAAAAAGGCCGAGCCACTGGTCAGCCGCCGGCCTCGGCACAGGGGCCAGGAAAAGTTTTCACGACGGGGTTTGGGCTAGCGGCAGAAGGCGCGGTTTGGCCGACGCTGCGCAACGCGAGCCGCAGGTGCAGCGAACGGTCCCAAAAGCGCGCCGCGGGCGGCGGGGCCGCACCTTGCTCCATGCGCCGTCCCGCAGGCGGTACAGCGCCGCATCAACGGGCCTGCGCGGCTCCAGCTCGCCGCCATACACGAAAAAGTCGCTGCCGGCCGCGCACGCCGCGTGGGAGCTGCGCGGGCCGGGGCCGTCGCCGGCCGCCTGGATCTCGACCCAGCGCATCGAGTGCGGCTGTCTAAGGGGCGCGCCGCCTGCGGCGGCGGTGAGGGCGCGGTGTTTGGTTGTGGGTGCGGCCCCCGGAGGTCAAGCGTGGCTGTCGGCGGGAGCCGCCTGCGTGGCGACCTGGCAGCAATCACGGCGGGTTTCGCAGCGTCAAGTGAGCGTATAAGAAGGCTTCGATACTCTCGCCAATGAGCCCGCGACATACGGTGGCCAGGTTGAGATCATCGATTTCCGTCAAGAGTGCTTACGGGATTCGTGCTTGAGCTGCTGAGTTATCACGGTGCACGACCAATAATTCAGTGGTGATACTAGGGACGGGCGTAGGCTGCGCGTGCGCACCAGTATGCTGCCGTCGTCGCGTCGGCCCAATGCGAAGGGTGACGCACGTGGCACCCAGGCCCAAGCTCCAGCTGACAGGCACGGCCGGCCGCGTAGCTTGGCCCAAGGTCGGTACTTGACTAAGAATAAGCCCGCCAGTCTTTGTGTGTGATGTCATGCCACCGACACCATGACAACAGAGGCGCCCGCCCCGCGTTGCAGCCCAGCACTGAGGGACACTGCAGTACGCAGGTACGAGCGCTGACACATTGGCACCCCTGCGCTGCTGGTTGGCCCAACAACCCCCTGCACTTGTACAGCCCTATTTCAGTCTGTTCCCGCATGCCCCTGGCCGCTCTGCTCTCTCCACAACCGCATGCCTTGCAACCCCGGCCAGCCGCCACCCCAGCCCCCCACTCACACCCGACAGCCGCTTGGTCGGCTCCCCACCCAACCTTGGTAATAGCAGGACAGTTACATACACACCCGCCGGCGTCACCCACGCCATGGCGGCGGCCGGCGCCCAAGTCAAGCCCTATTCCCAGATTAGAGCAGCTATTGTCAGAAAGTATATTGTTGGAAATGGCTGCGCCGGCGAGACAACCGTCGGAAAATGGGCGTGCCGCTGCTGGCGACCAGGGGATCTGCCCAGGCGCCGCGGCGCCGCGGTGCACTCCCGCAAGACGAGCCGCCGGCGAGGGGCCGAGGCGCCGCGTGCAGTACGGGCACAGGGAGAAAGGAAGGGGCGGGGAGGCAGGGGTCCCGCGGCGCCGGCCGATTTGCGCGCGCGGCGTGTGGGGTAAGGTCACTGGTCGGCGGTTCTGCGCCGGGCGGCACACGACGCCGGTGGGGGGCGGCTGCCAGGCGGCAGCGCGCGCGCCGCCCCCCCAGCGGGGGCCAATGTAGTGGTTCTCAAGTATAGAGGTCAAAAGCCACATCGCACGGCGGGCGGGGCCCCAAGGCCGCGCCTTCAGCGCCGACCGGCGGGGCAGCTCGCCAGCAGCCACGCGCCTGCAGGCGCGCGCGCAACGGCTGGCGTGGCCGCCCCCGCGCTGCGTGGAAGTGCGGAGCCGAGTTTAAATGGGGGATAAGAGCATGTGGAACATGCATGCGCAGGCGGCAGCCTGCTGCTTGGGTGGTCCGACTTTTGACCAATAATCGAGATAGATCTCGTAAGCTTGGCGCGGAAGGGGCGCCACAGCCGCCGCTGTCATCTCGCTGCGTGGCGCAGGCGCCACGCAGCGAGATCGCAGAGATCTGGCCGCATGGTTAGGCAGCATGCGCGCGCCAGAACCCTAATACTCCTGGCGTGGAAGCGGGCGGCCTGTGAGGCGCGTGCACGTGACTGCGTGGATGTAGGACTAAGTAAATAGCAAAAACGGCGGCAGGACCCCACACGCTCAGACCCCTTGGCCCCGCCAAACGAGAGGCACCCTGCATGCGCGACGCCCCCTGAGGCAGCGCGCAAGCGCGTGGGGCTTTGGAGGAGGGGGCCGCGAGGGAGGGGTGCGGGCGCCGCGTGCTGCGCGGCGTGGTGGGCAGCGGCTCTGCAGGGAGCTTGCTGGGTACTGTCTGGCCCCCGGGTCGCGCCGCGACGGCAGGGCGCCGGCACCGGCGCCGGCGTCAGCTCGTGCTCCGCAGATTTGAGATAAGTGCGTCCGACTAATCGAGTGCTGGGTGCCTTGATACAAAGGGGAGGCTGACAGTGCTTGTTGTAAGCTATGGGCTAACAAAGCGACACTGAAAAACCGGACCGCAAGCAGCCCAAAGGAAGGGCGCCCGCCGCGCAAGCGCGCGCAGGCAGCGCCCAGACGCCCAGCAGCCGTGCGCCCGCAAGCCGCACGCCAGCGGCGCGCCACGGGCGCGTGCAAGCGCGCGGCGTCGGCGGGCACGCTCCAGCGCGCGCCGGGTCGGGGAGGGCTTGCGGCGCGGCTGGCGGGGCGAGGCGGCTGGTGCGGGCGGAGTGAAGGGGCTGCAGTGGCAACGATTAGAGGGCTGCTTGTGAGTGGACCGACACAGTGCTTGCGGCAATCGCTGAGAAAGAGGTGGCGGCCCTGCCGGCACCTCGCGCCTCGAGCGGGGGAGCCAGGAACGAGCGTGTGTGCGGTGGCGCCGCCGCGCGGCCGGCAGGACGGCTGGACGCGCGCCGGGACACCCAGTGTCATCGTGAAATGACGTGTGATTTGACGCAACGCAACCCCAGCCAGTTGCTGCCCCTGTGGTAACCCTCCCAGGGCGCCGCCGTCCGGCCCCTCCCCTTTCCCCAGCATTTCAAGGCGGGGGCAACAGTCCTGCGGCGCGCGCCGCCGCGGCCTGGGCGGCTGCGCCCAGCGGCCCGCGGCGCCGCCGCATTCCTTTTGAATCCGTCAGTCTGTCGAGTCACGTCAGCAGTCTATCTATGTGGCGGCGCCACTCGCCGCAGCGGGACCAAATCGGGCAGTCAAGGGTGTCACGCGGCCCACACCGACACCACGCCGGCGCCGCCGCGCTCGTGGAGGGAAGAGCAGGCGTCCCCGCTGTCATCCCATGCAACAGCCGGCAGCATGGGCGGCGCCGGCCCCATGTGAGACGCCGCGAACGACGCGTGACGCAGCAGCGCCGCACCGTGCTGCTGCTGGTGCAGCTGCTGCCGCTGCAGTTCCAGCTGCAGCTGTAGCTGCTGCTGCTGCTGCAGCTGCAGCTGCTGGTGCTGCAGCTGCTGGTGCTGCAGCTGCTGCTGCTGCTGTTGCTGCTGCTGTTGCTGCTGCTGTTGCTGCTGCTGTTGCTGCTGCAGCTGCAGCTGCTGGTGCTGCTGCTGCTGTTGCTGCTGCTGCTGGCCCGAGGCAACGGCAACCATGCGTTGCTCGACAACCGCCGCCACAGCCGCGACTGCGGCTGCGTGCGCGTCCGCAGCTTCCGGGGACAAAGCGCTCTCGCCCGCCGCGGGCGCCGCGCGCCTCAAACCGCTCAGCAACAGGTCTGGGCGCGCAAGCAGCAGCCGCTCCACCTGCCCCAGCGCCGCCGCCACCGACGCACGCCCGCGGCCGTCGCCGCCGCCCGGCCCCTCGAAGGTCGCGTCGTCGCCGCCGCTGCTGCGCGGGCGCCGGCCGTCGACCGCGGGCGGCGCGCCGGCAGCGGCCCCCCCGACGCCGGCACAGGCGGCGTCGTTCGCTGCGGCGGCGGCGGCGCGGCCGCTGGCCTGGGCGCTGCAGCTGCTGTCGTCGGCTCCGGCGGCAGGCGCGGCAAGCGGCGGCGACGGGTGGCAAGCGGCCATGGTCGCGCCGGCGGCCGCGGGCGAAGCGGCGCCCCACGGCTGCTGCGCGGCGCCGGGCGGTGGCCCACACCATGCGTCACGCGCAAAGCCGCGCTGCTGCTGCTGCTGCTGCTGCTGCTGTTGCTGCTGCTGCTGCTGCTGCTGCTGCTGTTGCTGCTGCTGTTGCTGCTGCTGTTGCTGCTGCTGGGCCGCCCACTGCGGCCACCCGCTAGAAGACGTCGCTGGCATCGGCGGCGCGATGCGCGGCGTCGCGGCGGTGCCGGCTTGCATCGCCAGCCCGCCCATCAAGCCCCTGTGCTGCTGCTGCTGCTGCTGCTGCTGCATCTGCTGCATCAGCTGCATCTGCTGCGGGGCCGCGCCTGCCATGTGATTTGACGCCGCGGCGTGGGCGCCGCCGCCGCCGCCGCCGGCGTCGCAGCCGTCGGTAATGAGCCGCTCGTCCATCCCTTGCAGCAGCGCGTCCAATACCTGGTCCTCCAGCAGCCCCCCCGCAGCCGCCGCCGCCGCCGCCGCGGAATTCGCGCCGTGCGCGACGGCGGCCCCGGGCGCGCGGAACGGCGCCTGGCGCGCCGCGAGCTGCCACGCGGCCGCGTGCTGCACATGCTGAGCGTGCTGCGAAAGCGGTTGGGTCGCCGCCCACGCGTCCTGGCGCTGCAGGGCCGCGTAGCTGCGCATCAGGCCGTCCAGCAAGTCCTCAGCATGGTCCCCCGCTGCTACCAGCCCGGCTGCGCCCAGCCCCGCCCCGCGCGACTGCCCGCCCTCCAGCGGGCCCGCAGCCCTCGCGAGCGCCGCCGCGCGCTGGTGCTGCTGATGGCGCGCCAGCCGCTGCCCGAGCAGCGCGCGCTCTTGCTCGAGGCGCGCGGCGCGCTGCGCGGCGGCGGCGGCGGCGGCGGCGGCGGCGGCGGCGGCGCCGCCCTCGGCGTCGAGGTCCTCTTGGCGCCGCTGCTCCGCCAGGCGGGCCGCCAGCTCGTGGCGCTGGCGCTGCAGCGCCAGCTCCTGTTCCCGCAGCTGATCCTGTAGACGTCGCGTCACAAAAGTGGAGGGCAGGGCAAGGGGGGTGGTGAGGGTTGAGCGCGGAGGGCGAGCGTCGGATCGGGGTAAGGCGGGGCCGCATGCGGCCGCTGGATCGGGGGGGCGCGCGCGCGAGGTCCAGCCGTGCGCAGGTAAGGGACACGAAACGGGGCCTGTGCAGGCGCGCGATTGCAGGCGCGTCGCCTGCAATCGCCTTCGTGCCACGCATCAGCAACCCCGCATCG